GTTGTGCATTAGTGTAACAAAAAGCCTAAAAGGATTTGGGACCATGCGGCTTCCTTCCCGATTGATTGAGTGACCTTTGGTTTTGGTATTTTCATTGTAACCTACTCTAACGGGTTACAGAGCTGAAACTTGCAGCAATATTAGTCTTAAGTAAAGCCCGTATGCTGTAAAAAATTCTGAAGGTCAGAACTTTTCACAGCATACGGGCTTTGCTTAGGATTAATATTGCTGCGAGTTTCAGCTCTGTAACCCGTTAGAGTAGGTTACAATGAAAATACCAAAAAAGCTGATTTTACTAAATCAGTCGGGAATGAAGCCACATGATTCCAAATTCTTTTAGGCTTTTTGTTACACTAATGTGCCCATCAGCAAAATATGAACTCAAACAGAGTTGGGCAGCTGGAAAGTTTCCTCGTGAACTAGAATATCAATTTTTTTTCTTTTGCTTAGATAGCTTAAGTGCGAGGGATAAATGATAAAGATATGGTGATATATTCAGATTTTTTATGAAATTGACCAAGTTGTACAACATATGTAAACATCAGCGAATGTTTTACTCCCAGATCAATACTTAGATTCACCCTTAAAAAGAAAAGTCAATGATGTGAAGGTAAACTGATTAATACACATGGAATCTTTATATATCAAGATACCCGTTGTTCGTCGATTTTTGATTCCTTAGCGGAACTGAAGTTCGGCAATGAGTCACCCCGATAGTGCAATTTCTAGGTGCATTTTTTTATTTAAATTCGAATCGACAATATGAAGTTCTGAATGGAAATTCATTAAGAACACGGAAACAAGAAAACGTTTCGAGTGTGTTGCGCCGCTGACTGCAGCCATAACGTTGATGTAAGGTGGCTATGGGAAGGGAGATCAGGAATGTTTACAGGCCACAAAGGATGCCAAAAAATTGGCATGCATGATTTATATCATCAGTGTTTGTTTTCTCACATATTATTAAGCGACTATACGGTCGAGAAACACAGAGAGAATCGTTGCTTATTTTTCAATAAATTTGTTGTATTGTTATTATTGTTGGTCTTATTTATTTAGATGAATTGAATAATATGAAATTATTTAAAAAAATTAAAAATTTGGTATTAATAATAAATCCAAAAACATTGTTAGTAGATGACATAAAAAAATTGATAAAACTATTTGGTAATGTGAACCGTTTAAAATTAGATGGTCTATATGGATTTACTTATAATGAAAAATTAGTAATGATTCTAACTGAATTAATTATAAATTTACATAATTTAAATTTATTATATTTTGATAGATATTATAGACGATCAAATAATGAATTAGAAAAAATTCAATCATTATCAATTTTTAATGGTAGACAATGTGAAATAAAATTGCATCATCATTTATTAATGATATGGCTTTGATCAAAACGACCATGTTTTATTAAGAGAAACTTTCTGAGTAAATGGTTCATGTCGTAGAAGCAGAACATTTCAGATATTTTTATTTTTAACTAAACGTTGTACATTTCGATGTACTAATAAAAATATGAAAGTATTCCGTCTTGATTACATATACTTCATGTAAATTAGATGATCTTAAAAGATAAGAATAATAGGACTAAAGTCACCTTTTTAAACATAAGTATAAAGTAACAACTTTATTTATTTGAGACGTTTCGTTCTATGCTATAGAACTTCATCAGTCAAAATGATCAGTGTGTAAAAACATG